GCGTGGCACTTTGACCCCAGCCACGCCGACGCCGACTGGAGGGCCCAGGCGGGAGATTTCCCGCGGCTAACGATTGGGCATTTATGCAATGCGGCCCTTGGAGCATTGATTCTTTTCATTCCCCGGTCCCTAGGTCTTCTCTCTCTCTCTCTCGCCATGGTTGCTCCATCGCCATGTCGGCCGCCTCAGGCTCGTCTACTAGGAAGCGCCCCAGGAAGAAGGTTGTGCAAGCGTCACTTCCACTGCCGCAACCAACGGGGAGACTGTCGTTGGTGGCATGCCATTGCTGCCGAATTCGGTCAACGATTCATCTTGTGTCAAAATTAGACGCAAAATCCTAGGAGGGTTTTCTACAAGTACCCCTAATCATCGTGTAAGATTCCATTTTTTGCTCGATTTTGATCTCTTTTCCGTGTGTTTTCTCACATGTGTGAAATTGTGTAACAGGCTTAATCAAATCTTTGCCAACACTACTACTTGGAAAGATAGACCAGACAACTACAAGGATGTCTTGTTTGGAACTAGGCACACTGAGCATTGTTGATTTGGCTAGTGTCAGTGCTAGTGAACAAATATAGTAGGAAGAAGACTATGAAGCAATAAATGCAAAGCACTTTTGATAGTAAATGAGCTTATTTTTCTATATAGGAGTATTTTCAGTGCATTTTGTTGTATTGGTTGCAATAATAGTGCATGTAGTTTTTAAGAAGTGATCCTGTAGTAGGGAATGAGAATGAATAAAGTGTGGTGCATGCTTGATGTATCCAATTGTATATGACATGTATTTGTTTGAATGGAAATTAATTTTGGCAAAATTTTGTTTGTTTGCCTATAATTTGGTAGCAGTTTGTTTTACTTGCATTGACCGGGCAACTAAACATTAACATAGAGAGTGACAATTTGCACAAAATGAAACTTAAAAGCAGTCTTAAAGATAGACTGGTGGGTTCAACATTACAAGAATTGATCTTACAAATTTCATGATCTGCAACATAAGGAACTAGCATAGCACTTTCCGAAATAGGAAAGCGCGCTCATCGAGTTCATTCGTGAGATCCAGGACATCTTTGCATGGAAGCCTTCAGACATGCCAGGTGTACCTAGGAAACTCGCTGAGCACACTCTCAATATTGATCCTAAGTTTAAGTCGGTCAAGCAATTTCTTCATTGTTTTAATGGGGAGAGGCACAAGGCCATTGGAGAAGAGGTGGCCCGGCTCTTGGCAACCGGGTTCATTGTTGAAGTTTTTCTTCCTGAGTGGTTAGCTAATCCAGTGCTAGTACTTAAGAAAAATGGCACTTTGGCGTATGTGTGTGGATTACACAGACCTTAACAAAGCTTTGCCCAGCTGATCCTTTTGCTCTTTCCCGTATTGATCAGATCATTGATGCTACGGCGGGTTGTGAGCGTCTGAGCTTTTTAGATGCTTATTCTAGTTATCATCAGATCAAGATGGCAGTTAAAGACCAGGAGAAAACATCTTTTATCACGCACTTTGAAGCTTTCTGCTATGTGTCTATGCCTTTTGGGCTCAAGAGTGTCCAAGTGACTTATCAGCGTTGCGTTCAGAATTTTCTTTACAACCAGATAGGACGCAATGTTCTTACTTATGTGGATGATATTACTGTGAAGTCCAGAAACAAGGAGACTTTGCTGGATGATTTGAAGGAGACCTTCGATAACCTCCGGGTCTACAAGATGATGCTTAACCCGACCAAATGTGTTTTTGGTGTGCCTGTTGGCAAGCTCTTGGGTTTTCTGGTCTCTGAGAGAGGTAGTGAAGCTAATCCGGAGAAATGAAGGCTATTACTTCATTGGCTAAGCCGGCGTGCATTAATGATGTCCAGCGTTTGGCGGGTCGTATTGCAGCCCTAAGCCGGTTTATAAGTCGTCTGGGAGAGAAGGCTATTCCTCTGTACCAGATGATGAAGAAAATAGATCACTTTGTCTGAAGTAATGTTGCTAATGAGGCGTTCAAGGCGCTTAAAAAACAATTAGCTGAGCCGTCAGTTCTTGCAGCTCCTGTTGAGAAGGAGCCCTTGCTTTTTATATGTGGCTGCTAACAGTAGAGTCGTCATCGTGGTGGTTGTAGTGGAAATGAAGGAAACAGGTAAGGAATATCTGGTTCAAAGGCCGGCTTATTATGTTAATGAGGTCTTAATTGAGTCTAAACAAAGGTACCCACATTGGCATAAGCTAGTCTATGGGGTGTTCATGGCCAGTCGCAAATTGAAGCATTATTTCCTTGGTCATCCCATTACCGTGGTCAGTTTTGCTTCCTTAGGGAATATTATTCAAAACAGAGAAGCCACGGGCCGAGTGCCCAAGTGGGCCATTGAGCTTGGACCCCATGGTTTGAAATACATGCCTAGGACAACTATCAAGTCTCATGCTCTTGTGGATTTCATCAATGACTGAACAGAGTTGCAGATGCCTGAAGAGAAGCCTGATAATATGTATTGGACTATTCATTTTGGTGGGTCCAGGCAGTTGGAAGGCTCGGGGGCTGGAGTTATTTTGAGTTCCCCGCGAGGTGACAAATTTTTCTATGTTTTAAGGATGATATTTCCTTGTACTAATAATGCAGCTGAGTATGTGGCCCATGCTCCGTGGTCTTCGGATAGCCAAAGAGACGAATTTAAGCCGGGTGAGGTGCTTTGGCGACTCAGATTTGGTGGCTCAACAAGTCTCGCGAACTTGGGATTCTAAGGACCCGCTCATGGCGGCTTATCAAAGTTATATTTCCAATCAATAGACTGAGCCACCCCTAAGTGTCACGAATAGACCTCGAGATCGCACAACGATAACATCATATGATACGCATCAATCAACTCTAATGTCACTTTGATACCACGATGCCACCATGAGTATACGCAAGTTAATTATTCTACATGCATCAAACAATCTCAGATCCAAAATATTCAATCCAACATACAGAACTTCAAAGAGCAGGACTCAATTCTTCACAACAAAGATAGAGAGGGACCCAACTATATTAACAAAGATCATGGTACATCAAGACCGTGCCCTATCAAGATCACGAGGGAGAGAGATCAAACACATAGCTACTGGTCCACACACTTGGCCCCGAAGATTAACTACTCCCTCCTCGTCATGGAGGCAGATGGGATGATGAAGACGACCTCCGGTGATGGCTTCCCCCCTCCGGCAGGGCGCCGAAAATGGCCTCCAGATGAGGTCGCTTTGAAATAGAGGCTTGTGGCGGTGGAGTAAAAGTTTTATGTTTCTTTCTGGGTGTTTTCTCAATCTATAGATTTTTCAGTGTTGGAATCACGCCAAAAGGAGTTACGAGGGCCCCACAAGGCAGGACCGCACTCCCTACCCCCCAGGGCGCGCCGGGGTGCCTTGTGGCCACATCATGAGTCTGTTGTTCCTCCTCTAAAGCTTCGGGGGTCTTATGTAAAAAAAAACATAAAAAAGTTTCGTTGTGTTTGGACCTTTGGAGGTATGGATTTTGTGTAAAGACAAAAAAAAAACTGACACAGGGCACTAGATTAATCCGTTAGTCCATAAAAATAATAAAAAGGTGCACCAAAACCATATATAATTTCATCCCTTTTTTTTTAAAGATTCGCTCGAAATGGCTCTGTCCGTGGGAATTTGGCGACCGTACATCTACCTCCTTGTTTCAAGATTCAAGGGCTGAGATTAGCACAGACGCAAAGAGAACACGAAACCTTTTGGCGATACGTGTCGAACGCCAACTGGCGCGCTACTCTCTCTCTCTCTCCATTTAGCTCCTCCTTGTCGTGCCTATCCGCTGCACGGCGTCCGTCTCACTGCCGAGATTCCCTCTTCCCTGTGGGCCTGCAATGTCAGTGAACTGGGTGTAGCTTGTTGGTACAAGTAGGATCGATTGGCTCGAGGGGGAGCTTGCAGTTCGCACAAGCACCCCCGCCTCCTCCTCCTCCGCCGCCGCCGCCGCCGAGGGGGTTGCTGAGCACAGGCACTGCGATCTCTCACTCACTGGTCGCCTCTAGGGTTCGGCGGTGGGGCTAGCCTTCTCCAGCAAGCGGCGCAAAGGCACCGCGACATCCCGCCTGATCGCCTCTAGGGTTCGAACGCGGCGGGCAGGGGACGGTGCCGCGCCAGCCGCAGCCGTGCAGGACAGCAGCAGGGGCCACGCTGGTCTTTCGGCTCTGAAGCCACATAAGGTGAGGAAGGATACTGTCTGCCTTCCAAATTTGTTTTTTTTTAGAATCGCTTCCAAATTTGTTGCAACTCATGAGTAGTAGTGGTAGTATTATGGTTCCACCAATCGATGGTCAAATTGCATTTCTCCTGAGGAATACTGTACGTGCTAGCTTATCGAGCATGCCGAAATTGGTGCTCAAATTGATGGTCCTCGCTCGTTGTTAGTTTCTTCTTTCTTTTTTTTAGGCAAAAAAGACGCCTTTTATTGATGCCCGGTGTATCAAAGCCCCAAAGGCTCCTCATTGTTGTAACTACTAAGTTGATTATCAGGACGTTTACAATTTCCTTGGCGAGTATCATTACTGGAATATCTGACTGATGACGTATCATCTTACTGGAATATCAATTTCATGATATCCTTGGAGAGCATCATTACTGTGAATATCTGACTGATAACGTAGACCCCCACCCCCACCTTTTATTTTCGTGCATACGTATAGGGTACTTTGAGAGTACCATTTTCTTGAGTGTTAGTTTAATGCCTAAAGTGAAGATGGCTGCAATAAGTGATTAATCACAGCATAAAGTGTGATTGTACTGGATATGTTGCCTTTGTTAATGACTGATAACGACCGAGAATATCTGATATCATGCCTCAACTTACTGGAGTTCAACAAATTCAGCAAACCTTTTTGTTGGTTGGTATTGGTCTTGGTCTTGTACATTTCCGGAGCTTTTTATTTATGTTTTTTTCCTCTTATTACTGGATTGTCAATCATTTCTAACTACTTTGCACCTTTCGAAACGTGCATTTATATTCAAGGTGGTATTCAGAAGCAGTCACAATGGTGGGTTTCACATCAGTAGAGCTCCGAGAAATGATGGACAAGAAGAAGAACATTCGTAACGTGTCTGTTATTGCTCATGTGCACCATGGTATGTTTTCTTCACATAGAATTTCTGGCTAGGTGTTCTACCGCTTGTGTTGATAATATGTGAGCTATTTTCTTCTGCCATAATGTATACAAGTATGTGACATTGTGCAATTTAGTTCCTTTAGGTTATATATGTTTGTCAAGCCATTTTGTTAACTCTTTGTTTTTCCCTTTTTTATCTGCTTATTAATCCCTGAAATTTCTCAGGATGTATGTGCTGTCTTTCTGATAGTGGCCTCTAACGGTGCAATTCTGATGCTGTGTTTCTAGTTCAATACTCAATAGGTGCACTGATGCAATTTATTTACTCATCACAGGCAAGTCTACCCTTACAGAATCTCTTGTGGCAGCTGCTGGGATTATTACACATGAAGGTGATGTTGAAGTTCCCATGGCTGGTACTCATGCGGATGCAGGAGAGCCTGGTATTTCCATCAGATCCACAGGCACTTCTCTTTTGTATGAGATGAACAATGAGTGGCTCAAGGATTACAGAGGTGAAAGAGACGGGAACAAATACCTGGTCAACCTTATTGATTCACCTGGGCATGTCGATTTTTCTTCGGAAGTCACAACTGCTCTTCGTGTTACTGATGGTGCTGTGTTGGTAATTGATGCTATCGAGGGTGTCTGTGTACAAACTGAAACTGTACTCCGTGAAGCCCTTACTGAGATGGTTAAACCTGTTCTTTGTCTGAACAAGATGGATAAGTTATTCTCCGAGCTTCAAGTTGAAGGCGTGAAACCTGAATTTACAGGTGAAGAAGCCTACCAGATTCTGTCTAATGTCATTGAGAATTCCAATGCCATTATGGCAACATGTGATGCTGACCGCATTGGTAATGTCCAAGTCAACCCTCAGAATGGAACTGTGGCCTTCGCTTCTGGTTTACATGGCTGGGCATTTACTCTTACAGGCTTTGCTAAGAAGTATGCCTTGCAGTTTGGAGTGGATGAAACTAAATTTGCAAAGAGGCTTTGGGGCGATCATTTCTATGACTCTACCACAAAGACATGGACCAGGGAGCACAGTGGCTCCAAAAAATGTAAAAGAGGCTTTGTACATGTATGCTATGATCCAATCAGTAAAGTTATCAAGGCCTGCATGAATGAAAATAAGAGTGGATTGTGGAAACTGTTGCAGAAAGTTGGAGTGAACTTGAGGGACGATGAGAAGGACCTAACAGGCGTGGCTCTTGTGAAGTGTGTTATGCAGACTTGGCTCCCAGCCAGTACTGCTCTGCTTGATATGATGATCTGCCACCTCCCATCTCCGTTACAAGCACAGAAATATCGTGTGGAGAACCTGTATGAGGGCCCCCTTGATGATAAATACGCAGAAGCTATTAAAAAATGTGATCCTGAAGGTCCTCTTATGCTGTACGTTTCCAAGATGGTCCCAGCATCTGATGTGGGCAGATTTTTCGCGTTTGGCCGTGTCTTCTCTGGAAGGATTGCAACTGGCATGAAGGTCCGGGTCATGGGGCCTTCCTATGTCCCCGGCATGGAAACTGATTTGTACGTGGAGTCTGTCCAGCGTACCATTATATGGATGGGAAAGAAGCAATGTGACGTTCCGGATGTTCCTTGTGGTAACACTGTTGGTTTGATTGGTCTGGATGCATGCATAACAAAGAGTGCTACCCTGACAAGCGAGAAGGAGGTTGTTGCACGCCCAATCAGAGCGATGAAGCTCTCTGTATGCCCTCTGATGTTTGTTACAGTTAACTGCAAGGTTCCGACCGATGTTTCCAAACTTGTACAAGGTTTGAAGCGTCTGGTGATGTCTGACCCCGTGGTTCTGTGCAGCCAGGTAGAGCCTGGTACCTATACGGTTGCTGGAGTGGGAGAACTTCATCTGGAAATTTGCTTGAAAGATCTACAGGAAAACTTTATGGATGGTGTTGAAGTTGCTGTTTCCAGTTCGCCTGTTGTTTCCTTCCGTGAGACTGTCCGCAAGTCTTGTGATCCTGTTGAGAAAAAGTTCAGAAACAATCAAATCCGATACAGCTTGTCTTTGGTAGCCCGCCCCTTGGATGAAGAAGTAGTCGAGGCTATTGAGGATGGTCGCTTGGGTCCACGTACTGACCATGCGGTACGATCTGAGATCCTTGCTAAGCATGGTTGGGATAAGGATCTTGGCGATAAGATTTGGTGCTTTGGTCCTGATGTTGTTGGCCCCAATGTGATTGTTAATAGGTGCAAGGTAATACAGAATCTGGAGTTAGCGAAGAAAGTTATCGTGGCTGGCTTCGAGGTGGTGGCAAAAGAAGGCGCATTGGCAAAAGAAAGGATGCATGGCATATGCTTTGAGGTTCATAATGTTAATATACATGCTGATGAAGCATTGAGACATACAACTGCTCAGCTCATTGAGATGGTTAGGACAGCACTTATTGAGTCTCAGCTCGCTGCCAAGCCAAGGCTTCTCGAACCCACCTACATTGTGGCGATCCAGTGCCCTAAGAGTGCCCTCAGCACTATCTACGGAATTCTCCACCAGAGGAATGGTTCTGTGTATGAGGAGTTTGTGAGAGAAGGCACGATGCTACACATCCTGAAGGCTTACGTTCCAGTTTATGATTCCTTTGGCCTCTGCAAGGCAATCAGTACTGCAACATCTAAGCTGGTCACCCCGCAGTGTATTTTTGGATATTGGAGCGACATGTGCTCTGATCCTTTCCAGGCAAATGCGCCAGCTGGGCAAATGGTCTTGGATATCCGCAAGAGGAAGAAGATGGGCAGGCCCTCTTTCCAGAAGTAGCTCTGGCTTTCCTTGCTTCAGTGTATGTTGTTGTTATCTGACATCTTCCGAGGTATGTTATCTACTAATTGATGTTGAATTACTTAATATTGCTCCTGGATATGGTATTAATACTTTTGATATGATACTCGTGGTTCTTTGATGCCGTAATGTATGCTGAGGTTTAGCAACATGCTGAAATTTGTATCTTCAGGTCAAGCGGGCACAATTTTCTTGTAGATATGCCTGCCTAGCTTAGATTTTGTGCTGCAAGTAAACACATAATCCTAGTTAGCTGTGTCGCAGAATTTGTTTGGGAGACATATCTCCTGATTTGGTGGCGACTTCAAGGGATTTTGCAGGTTCTTTATGCAAAGCAGGGGAATCAATAGCCAGATCTGTTTTTTTCTTTCTCTTGTTTGGACTTCATACTCTGTTAGGAACTTTGATTGTTTTTGTTGCACTGAACCAAATAGAGAAATGCATATAGTTTTGTCCTGATTTAGCTTCAGATAATGTCAGAAAAGCAAATTGGTCTTGTTCTACCGCAGATGTTCCATTTATCATGATTAGACATTTGATTGATGAAATGGTGTTGATGCCACAATGCTTGCATGCCTTGTGTTTTCCCTGCCCAAGCATGCAATCCCTTGAGATAAAGCATGACTGATAGTTCCAGTCACAGATGTGCACTAGCAAACTGTTTAGTGTTACTGCTCGAAGCCAGCTTTGCTGGTAGAGCAAGGCAGCTCGGTTGGTTAGTGAGGCCGGCAGCTTTCTGTTGTTCATCTAGTACTAGAGGTCACTGTGAAAAACAGTGTCCAGCCTGCTGTGCTGGCAGGAGCATAATAACATCGCTGCCAGAAAGTGCAGGGCTATTCTGTTATTCACTGTGATATATGTATGTATCTCTGTGTGTGTGCACTTTCTTCAGTGCTGTTCTCACTGCAATTATGTTTTGTGGTGCAACTGCAGTTATGTTTTGTGGTGCATTGCAGCTCATCTATAGTACTGTGTGTGATATGATGTCGTGTCTGATTCGATTCTGTGGTTTCCCCCTTGCAGTGCGCTCTTCGTCTTGCTAGTGTGCAGTCCTGGGGTTCGCTTCACTTGATCGATCGTCGACGACATCTATCACCCCTGAAGGGAGGGGCTGCTGCTCCCCGTAGCTAGGTAGGTCTAATGGAACCGACTTTCACACTGAGCTGTTAAGAAGGCACTTAATTGGTGTCAATGTACGTCGCGCATTTGCTCTACAAGTGCTGTAGAGGATTTCACATGCTGGTCAAGTGGTTATGGTCTGCATCTCCTGATCGAGTTCTGTAGTTTTGCTGAATATTGGTTCCGATTTTGCGCAGACATTCCACTGCCATGTAGTAGTACTGATCTCAGTGGATGGAGTCTGTACTGTAGTGATCGGTCGGCAAAAAGACCTAGTAAGTTTTTTTCTGAGGAACAGGAATGTCTTAACATCTTCGATCTCGGAGATGCACTTGAAGATGTGTACGTGTCTTGCTTTTTCTGGTCACTGCCTGCTGTTTTTTTCACACTCAGGTTTTCTCTCTTCTCAAAATTGGACAGAAAACCTTTTCTTTTCATCGAGTTTTGATTGTTCACCACGCTACGACACGTGGTAAACGGGAGAAAACTTTATACTAAAATGTTTGACTGCAGCCCACAGATATTGGAATAGTTGTTGTTTGTTTTCATAAAATTTAGATCACAGCCATTCAATTGATTTCAAGCAGAATTCATGTGATTTTATTTACACACTTTTTTAGAGAGAAGAAAAACACCCTCCAAAAAAGGACCTAGCTTCTATAAAAGCTTGATATGTCTACCCAGGAAACTGGTTCAAAAGAGTATTGTAGCAATGGGGCGGCTATTTCGCGCAGCTAGGCTGGGCTGGTCAATTTGGACCAGTTTTTATTTCTTTTTTTTTTTCATTTTTAGCCCTTTCCCTTTTTGGGAACTTTTGAACAAATGTGTGTCTAACACTCTAACTTGCACAGAAATGCAGACCTGGCCTTTGGGATTTCAACTTTTTTTTGTAAATTAAAACTTGATGTTTTGGCAAATCAATCTTTTAAAAGTTTCAACTTTTGGAAAGTTGCGGAAAAATGAGGGTTGAAATCTTGCATTTTCTGAAACTTGAGAGATCCAAAAATTTCAGAATGTAACCTCTCGAAAACCTTTGCAAACTGCCGACATATTGAACTTCCAAAATTTGGAATTTCATAATTCGTGAACATTTCGTAAGATAGAACCACATGGGGAAAATATGAGAGAAATAAAAACCACATGCGTAATAGTATAGAAGAGGTGGGAGAGTAGAACAGAGGAACCCTGTGCGTGGGCCCCGTAACATTGCGCTACATCGAATACTAGCAAATTACTCCATGACGAGATTAACGGCACGAACTTAAACAAAATCACAGTCCATTTCCAGCCGTGTCGCAACCTCTTATTGGCGCTTGTTCGTGAAAGCCTGTCCAAGACTTCAAACACGTGCGTTTCAACATAATTTCCCACAAACGTTCCAACAATTATTATTTTTATTCTATTCTTTTTGCGGAGGAACGTTCCAACAATAATTATACATTTCACACCATTAGGTTTTCAGGAAAAAAAAGGAATTCGTATGGTTTCAGAACTGATCCAATAGAAAGAATTCGGTTTTTTTTTCGTCATTGCGCAGCCGTGGCAGAACAGCTGAACAAGAAGAGCCTCGACGTCGTGGGAGGGACCTGACCTGGGCGACGGGGAGGGAAAAAACGAGGTGTGGGAGGAGAGGAGCGGCCACTCGCGGCACCGTCGACGCAGCCTCGTAAGCAATTTCCGTGTTGACCCCGCCACGTCAGCAGACCATGCATGCATGTGCCCACACGCAAACCCCACCTCGCGCTCGTGATAAGCGGACAATGTAGGATTTGTTCCCGCAAAAAAGAAAAGAGTAACCATCATCATGGCTCGGCTCTACACCCTTGGATTTTTGTTTCTTCGAAATTACTCACATGGAGTTTTTTTTTCTGAATAAATTCTTGTGTTACTCCAAAAGCTCAAAGTTTACAATCAAGTTCAAAAATATCTAAAGCGCCAGGGAGGCCTGATCCAAGCCAAACAAAAGTTTACAATCAAGTTCAAAAATATCTAAAGCGCCAGGGGGGGCTGATCCAAGCCAAACAACAGTGCGGCTTTCAGATCTCCCAAAATTTTCCATAAATTCGCCATGGCTAATCATCATCGTATGCCGGGCACATGATTTCTCTTATTGGGATTTGGGACGATCCGCGGAAGAGGGACATTGTACAACTCTTAGCAAAAGAAAAACCAGTGAAAATGGGGCGGGGTTCCTCAATAATAATAATAATAACTAGACCATATAGGCGCTCGTTGCCGCGCCCGTCCATCTTAAGAAGAGTATCAATAGAATTGTTTGATAAATGTTGAGCTGTCACAACAGAAAGTAAAGTTCGTATGGTTCAAAATATCATGTACCAAAACATCCAAAAGGGAGATATAATATATCATGCACAATGTAATATACAGGAAATAAATCAATCCTAATGTTTATGTTCCCTAAAGAGAATCTCATTTCTATAAAGAGGCTATTTCTATACAATGCAACACATGCAATAATATGAGGGATGGGCAGGAGAGGCTCAAATTACCAACAATGTAGCGAGCCAGCATATAAAGGGATATCGCCTCCTTCTGAATAAGGAAAATTATGCACGCAAGCCTCGCTGGAGCTTGCCTACATCATCGTATGCCGACATGACATCACTGCGCAAAAATGAACAATAGTGAAATGCAAATATCAGCACATGGTGAATACTAAGATGAACTAACTCGTTGATGTCTTAATAAGGATAAAAAACGCGTATGCTCTATGTCGCTACAATGCTACCTCTGATCATCCCTGTGGAAGCTACAAAAGGTCCGAGTCAAATTGTAAGCAATAAAAGATAAGATAAACATCATAGAAGTATAAAGAAACTGAAGTTATACATTCAATACATAGGTTGCCGAGCCTATCAGTGAATATACTCGCCATATCTTCGTGTCTTGGCAGGGGAATGGACACAAACAATTGAAACAGAGGAAATAGAAATTATTCATTGAAAGAAAAAAACAGGGAGGAGTTGTGAGAAAAACAGGGAGGAGTCATATAGCTGCAAATGCAGTACATGTACTCATGTCGATGTAGGACAGTTGCAATATGATAACTGGCTAATTATAAATTAACTGCTCACTTGGATCTCAACGGAGAAGAGCGGCACTGTCAGCCCCATCCCCTCGTTGCCCGTATCATCTTGCCATCACATAAACACTGCCACGCACAGGAAGGTGAGAAAAGATCCCGCTGCTGCCCATCTGTGTTGCCGTATTTTGAGAGAGGTCGTCAAAGGTGCGGTTGCCGCCGCAGCCGCCACGGACGAACGATAAAAGACACAAAATTAAAATACAGTAAAGAAGGGGCTGCGGATACAGAGTGGGAGACGGAATTGGTGCGGAGGCAGTCGTGAAGAAGAAGCTCGCCGATGGTTGAACGACGGTGCATCGAGGAAGAAAGAACGACGGTCGGCGGCACATAAAGAACGGCCACGCATCGAGGAGCCAGAAACGGCGACGCGCAACGAACAGACAAACTGCTCCGTTGGGGAGGATAGCGATGAAACGTGGACGACCTGGGCTGTTAGCGTTAGCATCCAAAAAATGAAAAGACGTGGGCCTTAGAAGGCCCGGTTATGGAGAGGAAAACTAACTCGCTCTGCGCAGCAGCAGCCCGCGAGACGTGTGTGCAGTGTGTGAGCAACCTAGGACGCCGAGAGCTGATCTCGACCGTACGTTTGAGTGATCCGATGGCTGAGAGCGTGAAAACGCTGTGGAGGCTCCTAGCTAAACGTGGACGACCTGGGCTGTTAGCGTTAGCATCCAAAAAATGAAAAGACTGTTGGGGAACGTAGCAGAAATTCAAAATTTTCCTACGCGTCACCAAGATCTATCTATGGAGAAACCAGCTACGAGTAGAAGGAGAGTGCATCTACATACCCTTGTAGATCGCTAAGCGGAAGCGTTTAAGTGAACGGGGTGGATGGAGTCGTACTCGTCGTGATTCAGATCACTGATGATCAAGTGCCGAACGGACGGCACCTCCGCGTTCAACACACGTACAGCCCGATGACGTCTCCCACGCCTTGATCCAGCAAGGAGAGAGGGAGAGGTTGAGGAAGACTCCATCCAGCAGCAG